ATAAACTAACTCACCTAGTTACTACAGCCTCCCAAATTCAAACTAAGTCACCTAGTTAATACAGCCTCCCAACCTCAAACTAAGTCGCCTAGTTACTACAGCCTCCCAACCTCCAACTAAGTCACCTAGTTACTACAGCCGCCCAACCTCAAACTAAGTCACCTAATTCCTACAGCCTCCCAACAATAAACTAAGCCAACTAGTTACTACAGCCTCCCAACCTCAAACTGAGTCACCTAGTTACTACAGCCTCCCAATCTTAAACTAAGTCACCTAGTTACTACAGCCTTCCAATCATAAACTAAGTCACATAGTTACTACAACCTACCAACTTCAAACTAAGTCACCTAGTTACTACAGCCTACCAATCTCAAACTAAGTCACCTAGTTACTACAGCCTACCAACCTCAAACAAAGTCACCTACTTACTACAGCCTCCCAACCATAAACTAAGTCACCTAGTTACTACAGCTTCACGATCAAAAAATGTACCTAGTAAGTTCACCTGGCCCGAAGGGCCAAGTGAGCTTATGCTGTGGTGCTGCGTCGTCTGTTGTCCGTCCGTCGTCTGACCGTTATTCGTCTGGCCGTCGTCAATATTTAATTTTAAACAACTTCTTCTTAATAACCAAAAGGCCTAGGATGATGTTTTGCCAGAAGCAGTCTGGGATAAAGGACTACCAAGTTTGTTAAAATAAATGACCTTTCAAGATCACAGGGGGGTCAAATATGTTAAAAACTTTTAAACAGCTTCTTTTGAATAACCAAAATGCCCACCGTGATAATATTTGGCCAGTAGCATGCTGGGATGAAGGGCTTCCAATATTGTTCAAATGAATGACTTTGAATTATATTCAAGGTCACAGGGGTCAAATGTCTAAATAAAAACCTTTGAACAACTTCTCCTGAATAACCAAAAGGCCAAGGATGGTGAAAGGACTATGTATGGTTTGGGCCTTTTTTGGCCCCCAAATCCATCAAAATTAAAAATCTTCAATACAACTTTCAAATGACTATTTCTTTAATTTTGAATACTTCCCTGGGACTATAACAGTACACTTCAGGTGATATGGTACTGAAACCCCACGCGGGCGACAGGCGTCGCGCAGGTGAAGGGGATTAAAGCCCCACCGAGAAATCAAATAATCGAATAAAACAATTATGTAAGGTAACAATACCTAACGTCTCCGAGTAACACGAGGCTATCTTTCAGTTGTTTAAGCAGCACACGGTGTTTTGGATGGTCAGCTATTTGCACCAACCATTCTTGCTCTATTTCGTATTCAAAGTCAGAAGGTTGCATAAATTCACGAAAGAAAATCAGCTGCTTTCAACGACCTAGTTACAGGTGGCGCTGTTGATGTACATTACATTTTTTTTTGTGGACCCTTTGTTTGAAAGTTTATAGGGAAATATTACAAACCAGTAAACGAAACAAAATGTCTCGTCTCCAATTAGGATAGTGAAGCCTTGTGTCTGGTTGGCCTTCGAACTTGACAGATGTTACAAAACAAACACGATACAGAATGATTTGGAGATATGCTTTCAACCCTAGAATTTAATATTTCGTCCAAATGTGACTGATTTTGGCTAGTCAATATTCTAACAGAGGGTAAAAAGCGTTTGCAACACTACAGGTAGCGGCGGCAGCGACCCTTGACCCACAGCAGGTAGCTAGCTGCCTGCTAACAGGGTGTCTCAAGTTGTCAAGTATGGTTAGCTTTACCATTCTACTCATGTGTTAATGTATTGGACATATTCATCTTTAATGTATAAACAGGAAACTGTGCTTGAAAATTATAGAACAATCTGGAACAATTTTTAGCTCACCTGGCCCGAAGGGCCAAATGAGCTTATGCCATGGTGCAGCGTCCGTCCGTCCGTCCGTCCGGCGTCAATATTTTACTTTAAACAACTTCTTCTTAATAACCAAAAGGCCTAGGGAGATGATATTTGGCCAGAAGCAAACTAGGATGAAGGGGTACCAAGTTTGTTCAAATAAATGACCTTCACCTATTTTCAAGGTCACAGGGGTCAAATATGTTAAAAACTTTAAACAACTTCTTCTCAATAACCAAAAGGCCCAGAGTGATGGTTATTGGCTAGTAACATGCTGGGATGAAGGGCTACCAAGTTTGTTCAAATGAATGACCTTCGTCCATTTTCAAGGTTACAGGGGTCAATTGTCTTAAAAAATCTTTATACAGCTTCTTCTGAATAACTAAGAGGCCTAGGCTAATGATATTTGGCCAGTAACATGCTAGAATAAAGGGCTACTAAGTTTGTTCAAATGAATGACCTTTACTTATACTCAAGGTCACAGGGGTCAAATATGTTGAAAACCTTTAAACAACTTCTTCTCAATAACCAAAAGGCCTAGGATGATGCTATTTGGCCAGTAGCATGCTGAGATGAAGGGCTACCAAGTTTGTTCAAATTAATGACCTTTACCAATGTTCAAGTTCACAGGTGTCAAACATGTTAAAAACTTTAAACAACTTCTTCTAAATAACCAAAACACCCAGGAAGGTATCAATTGGCCAGTTGCTTGTTGAGGTGAATGACTACCAAGTTTGTTAAAATGAATAACCTTGAATTATATTCAAAGTCACAAGGATCAAATATATTCAAAATCTTTAAACAACTTTTTCTGAATAACCAAAAGTAGCAGGATGCTGATATTAGGTCAGTAACATAATGGGATGAAGGGCTACCAAGTTTGTTCAAAGGAATGACCTTGACATTTACTCGAGGTCACAGGGTTCAAATTTGTTCAAAATCTTCAAACAACCTCTTCTGAATAACCATGAGGTCCAGAATGTTTATATTTAGCAAGTAGCATGCTTGGAAGAAGGGTTATCAAGCTTTTTCATTTGAATGACCTTGACTCATTTTCAAGGTCACATTTGGTCAAATATGTGTCAACATTTAAATGACCTAATTTCAATAAACAAAAGGATAGGGTGGTAATAATTTGCAAGTTGCATCCTGAGATAAAGGGCTACAAATTTGTTGAACATATTATTAATGGCCTTGTTTGACTTTCAAGGTCACAGGGGTGAAATGCTTTTAAATTTTGTAACAGGTTCTTTTAAATGACTATTAATCATAAATACTGATATTTTGCATGTAGCTTAATTTCAATCACTTTAAAGGTTATAATTGTGACATTTAAACCAGGTGAGTGATGCAGGCCCATTGGGCCTCTTGTTACTACAGCCTACCAACCTCAAAATATGTACATTGTTACTACAGCCTACCAACCTTAAAATAAGTCACCTAGTTACTACAGCCTACTAACCTCAAAATTTTTACCTAGTTACTACAGCCTACCAACCTTAAAATAAGTCACCTACAGTAGTTACTACAGCCTACCAACCTCAAAAAATGTACCTAGTTATTACAGCCTCCCAACCTCAAAACATTTACCTAGTTACTACAGCCTCCCAACCTCAAAACATTTACCTAGTTACTACAGCCTCCCAACCTCAAAACATTTACCTAGTTACTACAGCCTCCCAACCTCAAAACATTTACCTAGTTACTACAGCCTCCCAACCTCAAAACATTTACCTAGTTACTACAGCCTCCCAACCTCAAAACATTTACCTAGTTACTACAGCCTCCCAACCTCAAAACATTTACCTAGTTACTACAGCCTCCCAACCTCAAAACATTTACCTAGTTACTACAGCCTCCCAACCTCAAAACATTTACCTAGTTACTACAGCCTCCCAACCTCAAAACATTTACCTAGTTACTACAGCCTCCCAACCTCAAAACATTTACCTAGTTACTACAGCCTCCCAACCTCAAAACATTTACCTAGTTACTACAGCCTCCCAACCTCAAAACATTTACCTAGTTACTACAGCCTCCCAACCTCAAAACATTTACCTAGTTACTACAGCCTCCCAACCTCAAAACATTTACCTAGTTACTACAGCCTACCAACCTCAAAATATGTACATTGTTACTACAGCCTACCAACCTTAAAATAAGTCACCTAGTTACTACAGCCTACTAACCTTAAAATTTTTACCAAGTTACTGCAGCCTACCAACCTCAAAAAATGTACCTAGTAACTACAGCCTACCAACCTTAAAATAAGTCACCTACAGTAGTTACTACAGCCTACCAACCTCAAAAAATGTACCTAGTTACTACAGCCTACCAACCTCAAAACATTTACCTAGTTACTACAGCCTCCCAACATCAAAACATTTACCTGGTTTCTACAGCCTACCAACCTCAAAACATTTACCTAGTTACTACAGCCTACCAACCTCAAAACATTTACCTAGTTACTGCAGCCTACCAACCTCAAAAAATGTTCACAGTAACTACAGCCTACCAACCTTAAAATAAGTCACCTAGTTACTGCAGCCTACCAACCTCAAAACATTTACCTAGTTACTGCAGCCTACCAACCTCAAAACATTTACCCAGTTACTGCAGCCTACCAACCTCAAAAAATGTACCTAGTTACTGCAGCCTCATAGCTTCAAACTAATCCACTAGTTCAAACAGCCTCCCAACCTCATGCTAAGTCACCTAGCTTGTACAGCCTCCCAACCTCATTCTAAGTCACCTTGCTTGTACAGCCTCCCACCCTCATGCTAAGTCACCTAACTTGTACAGCCTCCCAACCTCATGCTTAGTCACCTTGCTTGTACAGCCTCCCAACCTCATTCTAAGTCACCTTGCTTGTACAGCCTCCCAACCTCATTCTAAGTCACCTTGCTTGTACAGCATCCCAACCTCATTCTAAGTCACCTTGCTTGTACAGCCTCCCAACCTCATTCTAAGTCACCTAGCTTGTACAGCCTCCCAACCTCATGCTAAGTCACCTAGCTTGTACAGCCTCCCAACCTCAATGACAGCCTCTGAACACTTTTATTTTAAGAAATCTTATGAATGCACCCTCCCATTTATCATGTTTCCTAGTTTTAATATGCCTTTAACACTTAAACAAAAAATCATTTGTTTACCTGCAACAGGTCATTTGAGCCCCAGGATGATGATCCCAGGTAACATATGGAAAGAGGCTTGGGAGTCATGTAGAGCGATTCCAGCCAGACGACAAAAGCGTCTTTTTGATGACACAAAAGAGGCAGAAAAGGTTTGGCTTGTTATGATTTATAGCTCACTTGCCTAAAGGTGAGTGAGCTTATGGTCTGGGGGCAGAGGGGTGGGTCCAAATAGGGGAAATAGAGGTTAACATTTAAAATTCTACTTCTACCAAAGCGATTAAGGGATTTCATCCCAATTTGGTCTGGATCATCCTTAGGCCAGGGGGACTCAATATTGTATAAATGGCAGGTGTGGCCCTCTTAGGGGGCAGAAGGGTGGGACCGAATAGGGGAAATAGAGGTAAACCTTTAAAATTCTTCTTCTACCATATTTTGTATATGTGTGTCCCCTTTGGGTGCAGAGTTGCAGGGCTCAAAAGGTGAATTTGAGGTTTAAATCTTTAAAATTCTTCTTCCTCTGTACCATTTGAGGGATTTTATCCAAATTTGGCCTGGAGCATCCTTGGGCAAAGGGGACTAGTGTTGGCCCCTCTGGGTATGAGAGTTGCGGTGTCCAATAGGGGAATTTGAGGTTTAAATCTTTCAAATCCTTCTTCATTGGAGGGATTTTTTTTAATTTGCCCCTGAGCATTCTTGGGCAAAGAGTACTAAATTTTGTATAAAAAGTGAGGGTGTGGCCCTCTTGGTGAATAGGAGGGGCATGGCTCAAAAGAGGAATTTGAGGTTTAAATTTTAAAATCCTTCTCTTTCTGTACCATTTGAGGGATTTTAAGTAATAAGAATAATTTCCCATGGTTGTTTTATTATCCAGGTGAGCAATATAGGCCCTCTGGGCCTCTTGTTAATACAGAACTGACATTCAAAATGGTCTAAGGAATTTTTAACCCAATTTTGTGTAAATGATCCCTCACCCCAGGTGACATACTCTGAAGATCATTATACTGTGTTTGTTCTGATTTGAACAGGTGCTGCATTTCCTGTCTTCAATGAAACCAGCCAGTCTAGTTCTCAGTCTCTTGCCAGTACTCATTCACTCAGCCATCATCAAGGTCATTCAAAACGGTAAGAAATGTGACACCCTTAAGATATCATTTTACATCATAAGGTAAAGCATGAGTGCTAAAATGTCATTTAATAAGGCTTGAATGTTACATTTTGAGCCATCCCTACCCCCAAGGGCTGTAGGGTGTGTGCTAAAATAAAATTTCTTCATTTTCCTTGTTTAGAATCAGAGGTGCTAGTTTCAAATACTTTTCAGTCTGAAATCTGCACGCTAGATATTGAATAAGGTGGTTTTATTGTTTTTTGTCACTTTGAATATTATTTCTGTTCATGTTAAAAACAAAAATCAATTTGGAAATTGTACCATATGGAACCTGTCTGCTAAAAGCCTAACTTAAATTTAAAAAAATAAAAATACATGTGTGTCTATCATGTGACCATTTATCGCATGTTTTAGTTTAGCTAGGTTTTATTATGGATTTTACTATTTTTAGGTCACCTGAGACAAAGTCTCAAGTGACCTATTGCAATCGCCTTTTGTCCGTCGTCGTCCGTCATGCGTCCGTAAACAATTTACACTTTCGACTTCTTCTCCAAAACCCCTGAACCAATTTCAATGAAATTTTGCAGAAACCTTCCATGGCAAAGGTCATCAAAAACAGTTGCCGGCTTGGTCTCCGGCCCCCAGGGGCCTGAGGGGCGGGGCCAAAAAGGGTCAAATTGACTAAAATTTCAAAAATCTTCTTCTCAAGACCCAGATATGGTAGAATCAAACACTCTTCATAGATGGAAGGGTCTTAAGGTGCTTTACCACAAATGTGAATTTCTTGACCCATTGGGTCTCACGTTTCCCCTGGGGAGGGGGTAAACTTTACTATAGTTTATATAGGGAAATCACATTTTGGACCAACATTTGGTTAATTGCCATTGGAGGTAATTCAATTCAGGTTAGCATTATCAGTATTGGGTAGCAGTTTGATGGTATGCACATATGAGCCCTGACTGACCCCCCGGGGCTATTGGGTGGGGCCAAAAAGGGTTGAATTGACTGAAATTTCAAAAATCTTCTTCTCAAGACCCAGATATGGTAGAATCAAACACTCTTCATAGATGGAAGGGTCTTAAGGTGCTTTACCGAAATTGTGAATTTCTTGACCCTGGGGTCTCACGTTTCCCCCTGGGGAGGGGGTAAACTTTACTATAGTTTATATAGGGAAATCACATTTTGGACCAACATTTGTTTAATTTCCATTGGAAGTAATTCAATTTGGGTTAGCATTATCAGTATTAGGTAGCAGTTTGATAATAAGCACATATCAGCCCTGACTGACCCCCAGGGGCTGATGGGTGGGGCCAAAAAGGGTCGAATTTACTGAAATTTCAAAAATCTTCTTCTCAAGACCCAGATATGGTAGAATCAAATACTCTTCATAGATGGAAGGGTCTTAAGGTTTATGACCCTAGGGTCTCACGTTTACCCCCTGGGGAAGGGGGGGGGGGGGGCAAAATTTATTATGGTTTATAATGGCAAATGATACTTTGAATATTACATGTTAATAACTTGATTGGAATTATAACCTTGAGTTGACAGTTTGATACTTTGAAAATTTTGAGCCAGCCCTGCCCCAAGGGGCTATAGGGTGGGGCCCAAAGGAGTCAGTGTGCTAAAATTTCTTCATTTTCCTTGTTTAGAATCAGAGGTGCTAGTTTCAAATACTTTTTAGTCTAAAATCTGTATGCTAGATATTGAATAAGGTGATTTTTAGCTCACCTGGTCCAAAGAACCAAGGTGAGCTTATGCCATACCGCAGCGTCCGTTGTCCTGCGTCCGTCGTCTGTCAACTTTACACTACTAGTCATGAACCACTGAGCCGATTTGGTGTGGAGCATCCTTGTGTGAAGGAGAACCAATTTTGTATAAATGGTGGGTCTGGCCCCCAAGGGACCTGAGGGGCGGGGCCAAATAGGGGAAACATAGCAAATTATTCTTTAAAATCCTTCTTCTTCTGTAGAAATGAAAGGATTTGTTCCATATTTGGTCAGAAGCATCCTTGGAGGAAGGGGAAGAAAGTTTGTATAAATGGTGCATCTGGCCCCCCTGGGGGCTGAGGGGCGGGGCCCAATAGGGGAAATGTAGCAAATTCTTTAAAAACCTTCTTCTTCTGTAGGAATGGAAGGATTTGATCCATATTTAGTCTGAAGCATCCTTGGGTGAAAGGGAACCAATTTTGTATAAACCATGGGTCTAGCTCCCCAGGGGCCTGAGAGGCGGGGCCCAATAGGAAAAAACATAGCAAATTATTCTTTAAAATCCTTCTTCTTCTGTAGGAATGTAAGGATTTGGTCCATATTTTGGTGTGGAGCATCCTTAGGTAGTGGGGAACCAATTTTGTATAAACCATGGGTCTGGCTCCCCAGGGGCCTGAGAGGCGGGGCCCAATAGGAAAAAACATAGCAAATTATTCTTTAAAATCCTTCTTCTTCAGTAGGAATGAAAGGATTTGGTCCATATTTGGTGTGGAACATCCTTGGGTAAAGGGGAACCAATTTTATATAAATGGTGGGTGTGGCCCCCCTGGGACCTGAGGGTTGGGGCCCAATAGGGGAAATAGACGTAAATCTTCAATATCCTTCTTCTTCGGTAGGAATGACAGGATTTTGTCTATATTTGGTCTGAAACATTCTTTGGTGAAGGGGAACCAATTTTGTATAAACGGTGTGTCTGACCCCCCTGTAGGCAGAGTGGGGCCCAATAGGGAAAATAGAGGTAAAACCTTTAAAACCCTTCTTCTACCATAGGGATTAAGGGATTTTATCCTAATTTAGTCTGGAGCATCCTTGGGCCAAGGGGACTCAATTTTGTATTAGCAGTAGGTGTGGTCTCCGAGGGGGGCAGAAGGGCGGGGCCCAATAGTAGAAATAGAGGTAAAACCTTTAAAATCCTTCTCCGACCATCGGGATTAAGGGGTTTTATCCTTATTTAGTGTGGAGCATCCTTGGGTGACGGTGACTCAATTTTGTATAATGGGAGGGTATGACACCCGTAAGGGCATATGGGTGGGGCTCTGTTTGAAGTTTGTTCTCTATATCTCAAGTACTGGATGGATCTTTCTAAAATTTCATATGTACTTACAGCACCTACCATGGAGTGCTATATCTTTACTTCATACCAATTACTTTAATTATATTCAGGTGAGCGATACAGGCCCTCTGGGCCTCTTGTATTGTTTTTTGTCACTGAATAATATTTCTGTTCGTGTTAAAAACAAAATCAACTCTCTGTATAAATATATCAGGTGACCGTTAAGGCCCATGGGCCTCTTGTATATTATTATAAACGTTTTTGTGTGAAATGACATTCGTTGGAATTTTATTAAGTATTGATAATACATAGTTTTAACACATATCAGGATCATTTTGACACTATACCAACGTATGAAAATGGATTACAACGTTAGTTTGAATTTTTATAAAAACATCGACAGATTCTGTGGATCAAATCTAAGGACCGGCATGGACTTAATGCGATTGTTTTTTTTCTTCAAAAGTATTATACATAGAAACAACATATATTTGTTAAAAGTACGAAAATATGACAAAAACTGAAATATTCTTGTAGGAATATGAGCTGGTCTTACGATGATACTGTGTATGTACATGTATATATATATATATTTATACATGACCATCCGTGAAGGAATACGGTATATTAGACGAATTTAAATTGAAACCTAACAGTGTCAAAGGGATCATAATTAAAGAAATGCAATACAGTTAACTTTCAAAACGTAGTTGGTTTAAAACTTCTAAATTATATTCATATTTAATTCTGATTTTGTTTTATATATAATTTTGTATTGCAATAGTTACACATGAAATATTACGAATACTTGTTGCCTCCGATTGATACACACGGAATAAAATAAGATTAGGTCACTTGAAATTAGCGAGGTCCATGTTACAGGTAGGAGAAACCATATTAAACATTTATTTAAAGTGTAGACTTAATTTAATACAACCGTCTTTTTTATTTTTCATTTCTACAAACACAAAAAAAAACACAAAAATTTGGGGAATTGAGTGGGCGGCACCTCGACGGTACACACCATCTAATCAGTCGCATGATGCGGTGTATTGCGTAAGCTCCGCCCATTATGACAGGAGGGCTACTGTGCTGAGGTGTGATTGACGTTTCAGACCAACCAATAATTTTGGGTGATTTCACAGTGCAGGGACAGTCGGCTTGTCCGCCTCGGTAGATTTTTCAATTAACTTATGTTGATCAGTAAACTATGATAACATTTTATACAATGTATACTAAACGGAGATACTTAAAATGATGTGTTAATTAACGTACCGGTCCTTTTCAATTATAATCTAGATTGTTTAAAGGGAAAATCGTGTAATCTAGTCAAATTAACCGGCACTTGCACATCGTGATCGTAAATGTTGCCCCAATATACATCTATTGGACAAAGACGAAATGTTGATCACATTACAAGGCAATGCTACTTTATATTAAGCAAACATGGGTAATTTTAAATAGATCCCCCCCCCCTAGTAAGTGTGCTGGCGTTATTTCTTTTCCGTTCGGGAAATTCAAGTAGCGCTTTCTGTTCGGTTTGCCGATTGTAACTATACATCTGTGGTACCGTAGACAGGAAACATCGGCCACAGCAGACACATACATGGCCCAAAGTTTGAACAAAACTTGAACGCGGGATAGTCGCGGAGGTCTACCTTGACATAGCCGGCATTTCTTCCGCGGTCATCCCGCGGCTACGAGCGACAGGGATTAAAATTTGTCGCTCGACGGGCGACTGAGTACCAAATCACCTGACACGTACTGTACTTCATACCTAAATAGGAAACCAGGACAGTATACTTTATACGTAAATAGGAAACCAGGACAGTATACTTCCTTCCTAAATAGGAAACCAGGACAGTATACTTCATACCTAAATAGGAAACTGGGACAGTATACTTCATACCTAAATAGGAAACCAGGACAGTATACTTCATACCTAAATAGGAAGCCAGGACAGTATACTTCATACCAGGACAGAATACTTCATACCTAAATAGGAAACCAGGACAGTATACTTCATACCTAAATAGGAAACCAGGACAGAATACTTCATACCTAAATAGGAAACCAGGATGGTATACTTCATACCTAAATAGGAAACTGGGACAGTATACTTCATACCAGGACAGTATACTTCATACCAGGACAGAATACTTCATACCTAAATAGGAAACCAGGACAATATACTTCATACCTAAATACTTTAGCACTCTTGAATTTCTGTGTCGACACTAACAAAAATTACCACCAAAATAAGTAATTTGCCAGAATTAAACCGGTCAGAGAGGCAAGCAAAGACTAAGCAAAGACTCAAAGAAGATGTCGGAAGTCAGAAGTGTAGAATTTAGATGATTGGTTTAATTTCATTATGAATATATCAAAACTTTTCTTACAGAGGATTCTGACATCCCTAAACTGAAAGACGTCTTGGACAATCTTATTAGTCGTGCATCAAAAGTTACCCGTGCAGCACACCAGGATATCAAGAAGTATGAGGTCAGTGTGTGTATTTAACCAGTAGGAACCTGAGTTGGAACGCTATTAATTTTCCTCAAATAAATTACCTTTACCTACTTTCAAGGTCACAGGGGTCAAAAAAATTAAAACCTTTAAAATGAATTCTTCTGAATGACAAGGAGGCCTAGGAGTGTTATAAATAAAACATTTATAGCACTCCATGCCAATTATCTAGTGGCTTGACCTATTTCCAAGTTCACGATGACAAATATATATAAACCTTCAACAAATAAATGACCTTGACCTATTTTCCAGATCTCATGGATCAAATGTGTTAAAAACTTTTAAACAACTTTTTCTGATTAACCAAGAAGCTTAGAGTAATAATATTCAGCCAAAAGGTACTTTGGATGGAGTGCTAAAAACTTTCCTCAAATGAATTATCCCTTTTCAAAGTGAAAAGGATCAATTATGTCAAAAAGTTTAAAAAAAACTTTTTCTGGATAACCAGGAGGCCCAGGATGATGAAATTTGACCAGTAAATATGTTATTTAAGCACTCCATGCCAGATTTCTAGTAACTTGACCTACTGCCACGGTCAAAGGAGTCAAGTATGACCTTGACCTCTTTTCAAGGTCACAAGGATCAAATATGTAAAAACCTTTCAGCAACTTCTTCTGCATTACCAGGAGGCCCTGGATGATATTCTTTAACCAGTAGCATGCTAGGAAAGAGTGGTATAAAGTTTCATCAAGTCTTGAACATTCGTAAGCTTAGGTGACTCAATGGATGGAACTATTTGCAAACTACTTTTTTTGAGAACACTTTCCTTTGATTATGATTGATGAGTTTATGGTTTGACCATATTCTCTGATCAATTTGGAAGATGGAAAGGCTGACCCCCTGTTGGTCATATTGCTTTAAGTGACTTCTTCTCTTGAACTAAGAGAAGGATATCAATTATGTGTGGTATGAAGCATTCTCAGGTGATGGAGATTTAGAAGTGTAAAAATGGAGGGTCTGAGGGCAGGACCAAAAAGGGGTAATTTGGCAATATTGCTTTGTTGCTTCTTCTCTGGAATAAGAGATAAACATCATCCATATTTGGAGAGAAGCAGGATTGTCACAGGGGACTTGCTATATAATTAAGACCTTTTTTGCCATACTATTTTTATTGATGATCTTTTCCCATGATTGCTGAAATATCCAGGTGAGTAATACAGGCCCTCTGGGCCTCTTGTTTAGATGATGTTTTAAAATCTAGATGATTTTTAGAGCACATTTACAGTAATTCCTTTTATCTGAAATAATTTCAGGACCTAGTGAGGTACATCAACCTTGCAGAGACAATGATAGCCAGAGCCAAATCTCTCAAGTCCAAGTTTACAAAAGACCTTCTTGATCACAAAAATGCTGAAAAGGAAATGGAACAGTTTGTGAGCGAGTTATTACATCATCAAGAAGTAGCTGTCCGAGGCGGACCCTATGGCCCTGCCGGGTCCTGTATACACAAGTTATTTATTGCTGCTCAAAAGGTGGGTGACCCTGTACACACAAATGGATTACTCTGTGCACACATGTACATGAGGTGGTTCATTATGTACGCACAGAAGGTTGGTCATTCTGAACACACAGAGGGTGGGCCTCTCTGTACCCACAGAACGTGGGTCACTCTGTACCCAGAGAAAATGGGTCACTTTTCACACAGAAGGTGGGTCACTCTGTAAACACAGAAAGCAGGTCACTCTGTACACACAGAAGGTGGGTCACTCTGTACACAGGAAAGGGGGTCACTCTTTACCCATTGAAGGTGGGTCACTTTGTACACACAGACAATGGGTCATTATGTACACACAGAGGATGGGTCATTAGGTACACACAGAAGTTGGGTCACTCTGTACACACAGTAGGTTGTTCACTCTGTACACACAGAAGGTTGTTCTCTCTGTACACATAGAAGGTTGTTCTCTCTGTACACACAGAAGGTTGTTCACTCTGTACACACAGAAGGTTGTTCTCTCTGTACACATAGAAGGTTGTTCTCTCTGTACACACAGTAGGTTGTTCACTCTGTACACACAGAAGGTTGTTCTCTCTGTACACA